AGAGGGACAGCGACACACTATTTGCATTGCATACAGTTTGTGAGGATTACACGATCCACCGAGAGGCACAGCAAAGTGCTGCCTCATCGCGCATCTCCTCCATGTATTTGAACGGGACATACGGAAAGTCTGCTATTCTTTATTGAAAAAAATTCCTTCAACATCGGATTCGAACGGCAAAAGGGCCTACAACACACACCAGTCGGCAAATATTAACATTTATTATATTTTATGGTTAACTTTTTTTTCTTTTCAAGATTGGCCGCACGTCACTGGGCACTGCTCAGAATCAGTATACAGATTAATGACTAAACATTGAGCTGAAATACAGTAAGTGTAGTGGGATAGATGAGAGAATGCCTCTGCTGTGCCACACAAACACATGGTTTTGTTTTATAACATTTTAGCACATGGTCCAGCTGTTATCTGTCCTTTGTTCTTACAAGCATATCATTATTATATGCATGTTAATAATACTAATCATAGTGAACTAAAGTAACCCATTTTTCATATTTTTGATAAATACCTGTCTTTACAATCGATAACAGCTTCAACTTGAAATATAACTGTTTCTAAGAGTGATTCATTTTAGCAGTACTAAAATGTGTACACTATATCATCATGATTTTGAATTTAAGGACAACAGCATAATAGGACTAACAGGACTAATGCAACAGCAATCACACATTAGTTACAGAATTTGATAATCATGCAGGCATTGTCACATATAAATCAAGATAAATATGTCAAGTTAATAGCTTGCTTCATTTTTTTATGCAGTAGACTCATGGAGACATTTCACTGGCAGTAGAAGGTGAGAACATTTTCTTGGTTTCCTCTGACCAGTAGGACAGGCGGTCTCAGATCACGTGACAAGAAGTCTAGCCATGCCAGGTAGAGAGTACTGGGACACACCCCTCTCCTCCCCACTGGCATAGTGCTGTCAGGAAACATACATTGTCACAAACAAAGGTTATTTAATGGGGTAAACAGTTTGTGTTACCTAGACTGCTATAAATGCATTCACTACATCCACAGGTGACTACTTTTAAGGGTAAAGTGACTCTACTTGGTCTGTATATACTGTCAGGCTTAAAAAATGACAGATATGTCAATAATGAAGAGCTACCACTCAGAGTGGAGTACTGCAGTTAGTATGCCATGTGATGATAAGACTACTCCTTTTACTTTGCATTGTCTACATTCTAAGAAAGAAACACTCCCATTATCCAAAAAAGCATTACTGTACTCACATAACAATCAGAGCAGCTTCTCTGGAGAAGTCATGCAGAACCTCATTTAGACGGATCTGACGGAGAGACTGGATTCCACAGAAGGATTACAGTTTTAAGAGATGACAATAAAGCAAAGAGAAGTTGTGGATTGGTTAGTTCTTCCTCTTAATTCTATGGGCACATCCCAGTTCCCTTATTTGATCATTGCTTGCATGACCCACAAACCCTTAGCTGCTCTAGCATAGCTGCCACCCTCAGAAACAGACATCATGTTAGATGACGGTTCAGAGGAAGCATGCATCATTTCTCTACAAATACGCATTGTTTCCTCTCTCCTCACATATTCAATGGGAGGGACTATGATACAAGGAAAAGAGGCAAGTGAGGGAAACATGGATACATTAAGGGAACTGAGATCTACCCTACAGTACATGCATCATATCCAAAATGTGTGTAATTCATGTTGCATATGTGTGTGTGTTGCTGTATGAGTCAGACCTTGGCCTTGTTCTTCTCTAAATCATGCTCAGTGATAACCCAGGGCTCCTGCTGCTGTCCTGGCATCCCAGAATCAGTGTCCTGCTTGGGGTTTGTATTCAGCCTGAAGCGACCCACCATGTTCTCAAACTGATGAACACTGATGAGACAGACATAGAGGCTTGATTTAAGTTGCTAAGGGCAATGTTTATAAGATATTAGGGAGAGTGACTAATTCTTTGGGTGGAACAGCAGATCAGAGGATTAGTCAGTACTAGAAGCTTAACCTCTCTAAAGTAAATGGTCTTATACTTGTATAGTGCTTTTCTATGTATGGCAGCACACTCAAAGTGCTTTCACCCATTCCCACTGACAAACACTCACACACCGGTGTTATCACCGGGAGCAACTGGGGCTGGAGTGTCTTTCTCAAGGACACTTCGACATGTTGACTGGACAAGCCAGGAATCGAACCGCTAATCCTCCGGTTAGGAAACGACCCGCTCCACCTCCTAAGCCACAGCCACCCCCCAAACTTTCAGTTTCCCTTTCAAAATCAACAGTGGTTGTTAACCTTATTTACACATACTTTTGTTATGACACGATTTCCTGGAACAGAGCAGGTACTGTACTTTCCATCAGCCTCCCAGGAGCTATAAAAAGTCTCTGTATGAGGTTCAGTGAAGTTACACAGCACATTTGTTTCTGGAGTGGAGCGCTCCACTTTCTTTTCCTTCACTGATTTCTGCTTGCATGAAATGTCTGTAGTATGTTCAGTTAGATATTTCAAGGCACTGCTCTATATGGGCCTGACTAATATTTGATCCATCTGAGCACCATGGTTGCTTGTAAATCATTATATAGCATTTATTGTATATTCACACCAAATACCTTATCCAGATACATTAATTGGGTGATGATTATCGAAGTGTTGCTTTGATTCAGAAGGCAGTGCAAACTGTAAGGCCTTTGTTTTGGTTTAGTGCATGCATAGCTAAGGGGCATCTATTTTTTTAAATCATCAAAGCACATACATGATTAACCCCCCCCACACACACACACACACATATATATTAACATATTTCACATTTTTTTGGAAATATGCATCATTTTAGCACAAAACTGAAGTAATGAAGGAAACCTTTTCATTAAAGGGCCCAAAGATCAGATATTAAAACAAAATCCATCCTAAAGGCATTATCATGTCTGCAAATTTTGTGGTGCATATTCCCAAACAAATGTGCAATTCAAGTGGCCCAAACCCGCGGACACCATAGAGCTCTGTGGGTCCCTGAGGGGTTTTGCCTAGTTTTATTCTCATATACAAGCTTTGTAAACCTTACTTCATAGGCTGAGGATTCTGGTAGATGTCAGGAAGCACTACAACATCATGGAAACCAAGACGGAACTTATTAATCAGCGCCAATACCCTGATAAAGAAGAGTGTAAAAAAGAGTCATTTTTCATAGCACACATTTTACTCATAGCAGGAAAAACACAGCTGTAGTTAATAACATTCGTGATGGCTTACTTGGACACTTAAAGCTGCTCTAATTAATGTTTTCATGTCTATATGCAATGTGAAAGGTATTTATTGTAATTACAAACCCACAGAAAATAATCAGGAGCTCTGCAATTCATCTCAGCTCTATGGAGCTTTATAGTGTCTTTTAGCTCATTGTTTTGGTTTTAAGGCTCTTACCTTTACTGTTCTGGTTCACTCTCACAGCTTTTCTCTCAAAGCAAAGAAAAAGTCTAATCTGACATATTCCAAACTGAACTCCAAAAATGGACTGGACAGAATTATTTAAAAATCATCAAATAGTTGTAGTTGTAGCTAATCTCCCTGTCACTGATGTTTTGGGGTTGCTTTGTTGCTTCAGGCACTGGATGTCTTGACTGTATGTATGACATTAAGAAATCTGAAGCCTACCAATAAATTCTGGGGCACAATGTAGGGCCAGTGTCAGAAAGTTGGGTCTCCACCAGAGGTCATGGGTCTTACAGCAGGACAATGACCCAAAGCAGACTTCAAAAAGCAACAGAAATGGTTTCAGACAATGTGCTGGAGAGTTCTAAAATGGCCAGCAATGAGTCCAGGTCTAAATCCCATAGAGCAGTGATCCCCAACCTTTTTTGTACCAGGGACCGGTTTCATGCATGAAAATTTTTCCGTGGACGAGTAGAGGCGCAGGGGTTCCAATAACAAAAACCTTTATCAGTTCATAGTATGCAATCTGAATGCAACAATTACGCTTTATATTAGGCAATTACAATGATTCTACACTATAATATCAACTCATCATAATGCAGAGTCAGTGGGAGCCCTGGGCTTGTTTCCCTGCAACTAGAAAAAAATTCCAAGGGCTTGTCTTTTAATGCAGGTTGTTTTGTCTCAATGTGGCGAAGCATTTATAAGAGTTTCATGGCTTGTCGGTCACCGCAAATTATGCATAGCGGGTGTGGAGCTTGTGTATCACCTGTTGCGATGAACCCGTAACTTAGGTAGGGATCGTGGTATTTTCTTTTAAATGCAGCTTTCTTTTTGCTGGCAGTCTGTGACCCTTCTGCTGTCCCATCGTTTGCTCATTCCTTCCCGAAAAAACTCCCCAGTGAATTTTGTTTCTGGCTCATTTTTTAAAAGGGTTAGCTCGTGTCGCTGATGCGTAAAATGGCAAGCCAGAGTCAAGCGCGGTAGTGAGGCAAGGGCGGAAACAGTCGTTTTTCAAACTAAGACTAATGAAAGAAAAATAACTAAAATTTTAACCACAAATTTTTTTTCTTCAAGGCCCGGTACCAAATGATCCACGAACCGGTACCGTTCCAGGGACCGGGGGTTGGGGATCCCCTGTTTTGTTTGACCGAAAGTCACAAAATGCAAAACACTGCATGCATTTTGAAATGTTTAAACTAATTATCACTTCAGTTCTACTTTCCGAGTATAAATTGTCATGTGTAAAAGGTTTGCTACAAACTCAGCTGACTGGCTTCTCTCCTGTATTATTTCACACGAGTCTCTTCAGAACTAATAACTCTGCATGAGCTTCTAACTTCTAAATGAAGCTGTGTGTGACCTTCTATGCTGTTTTCACTGTCACTGCACACCACAGGATGGTGACATCTTCTGTCAAAGACACTGAGTCAACCACTCACGTATGGGGGACGATCCGGGACATGGGGGAGACTCTTTTGTTTATCTTGTTAGCATGACCATTCATTGCTATTCACTGTTGAATTTGGGCCACAGTTAATGCACCACAATGACACATCATACATTTTCATGAGTACTAGATGCTAAACCATTTTTTATTTATCAATGATGAAACACTGGCGGTAGAATTTGTGCTAAGGTACAGTAGGCTATGTTAGCAGAATGGCTAACCAAAACAACAGAAACTCAAGGGCTGGAAATGTGAATAAAGCCACTTATGTCACAACGTGGCTGTATCGTACACACCTACAACACTCCCCCTACAAACCCTCACGCCCCCTGACCAGCACAGCCCCATGCTGTGTTTCAACAGGGAGCTGTGTGTATATATAGTTGTTTTACATAATATACAAAATTTTACAATTTACAACTTTACAAGGAAGATTTAAAATCATTGTGAAATGCCCAGATGGGATTGTTTTGTTTTATCACATCTTGTCAGTTTGATAATTTTTAACAAAGTAGTTTGAATTAAATTTTTTAAGTAACTTTAGTTTACCAAACAACATTTCTCTCTAGAGTAGTTTTGCTGCAGTTTTACCTTCATCCAGTGTGAACTAATTGATAGTTTACAAAGCTACAATTTTCTCAAAACTGATTTTAACATTATGATGTTTTCATACATTTGAGCATTAAAAATGTGCACAAAAATACAGAAAAAAATCATGTCCTGTATTGATTCAGTGTGGGACAAAGCTAATTCTGACAGAGTATTTTATTTATCAGAATATGTTCAGGCAACATATTGCTAACATTAGTCATGCCAACTTTTTCAGGTGATGGCCAAGTTTTGATGAATCCACATGGCCAAATATCAGGTATTGCAAATTTAAATAAACTAGTTTTATTGTTGAAATTATTCCTTGTTAAACTGTCTCCTGTGAAAAGGGTCTGGAACTGCATACTTGATTAATCTTCATGATCAGTTGTACATCTCCTTTTTATTTAATTCGGTTACTTCATTCCAACACCTTTTTTCGTAAATGAGCAGAAGAGATCAAGGTGTAAAAATACCAAATGCAAGTTTTGGAAAATAATCCAAGTACTTACTCCTCTCTCTGCTGCTCCTTCTTCTCTGTTTCTCCTCCCACAAACACTCGGACCTTACATCTGGCCCAGCGCTTCCTGCGAGTCAGCAGGTAGGGCAGCAGCAGGGTCAGACCTGGCGAAGCACAGACAGATGGTGATGATAAAACTTGCTGTAATACTCTTGGCAGAAAAGAAGTAAAGCGGTTTTAGATGGATAGAGAGGTAATCAGACCTCCATCGTCAGACAGCCAGTATACATCGATAGTCTTCTTTCCTTGTTTTTTCTGAAACACTGTATTTATCTGAGGCTCTGGATCAGTGGAGAGAGAAGCTGCAAACAATTATGTATATATGGAAAACAGTTCTTGTTATTTTTTTAACAGTTTGATGACATCAAATTATAAGATTTCTGGGCATTGAAGTTCAAAAAACATGATTAAAGAAAAAGAAGAATTCAAGGGTAACTTAGGCCAGGTTTATTCAAATTTTTTTAAACAATGTCATGATAATGATGTAAAAGAAATTAATAATAATAGTATAATCCTGCAGGTACATACATGAAATACTTGTTTGAGTGTGAGAAGTGACAGAGATGGTGCATACACTCTCTCGTCCTCCATCAAAGGCTGGATTGACTGAAATAAAAACAAGAATTTGTTGTGTACATTGATTTGCTTGTAGACTGTAATTTAAATGATGATGGCTAAGTGTGGACTGCACTTCCCATCATGTCCCTTGGTAACTTGCAAGTTGCACTCAGTTTAATGATGTTTACTGATGATGTCAAATGAATTTATTCACAGTGTGCGCTGCTCTAATTTGAATTAAGAGTCTCACCATGTGCTTGTAATGGCTGAGAGACTTCCAGTCCCTCCTTCATTCTCAGCAGGCACACACCATACTGTAGGTCAAATGCATCACTGAAATACACATATACAGTACATGAATACACAAGTACACAAACACACATTCTTTGGCACATGGAATATTAAATATTAATCCCCACTGTACTCACTGCAGTATACCAGTGTAGTTGTGTGCAGCCTTAGGGTCACTGCACCAGTCTTTCTTGAAACCCAACAGCAGGACATTTGGCTTGATACGACCCAAACCTGCCCCCTGGTGGACAAATAACATTAGCGTCAGGTCTTTCTAATAAGGGAGGTCACTCTTCTTCCTGCCAGCTTTGCAGTATTTGACTTCACTGAACATAAAGTCAGCAATCCTGGATAACAGGTCTCACATAGCTGCTTAGTGAATGGCTCTGTTAACTCAATAATGAACTTGAAAGCTGTGATGCACCACCCTCAGATGAGGACCAGTGTGCTTCTTATAAGCTGGAATGATGGTACCCACAGAAACAAAACAGATCAAGAGCAGCATTTTAACAAGATAAGACAAATTAATTGGTTCCTGCTGGACCTATGGCAGTAACAAGTAATGCTTCATTAAGGTAAAAGTTACAAAACTAAAGTACAGCACTAGAATATAAAAAGAAGTAGTACACATAGTGCTATAGAGCTGTTTTTCTATGAGTTGTGTTTGTCTCATGCACAAGGATGAACATGTGCACATATACACACAGATGATATATAGTATGCAGCAATACACCTGCAAAGGCAGCGAAGAAGCAATCATTTAGCAAACATGCTTGTAATAATTGTTGGAGTTTAAATGCTTGTAGTTGTCCCAACATTTAAGAGTTAAAAGGGATTCATGCATTTAATCTGTCAGACACTTTTTGCCACCCATACTGTATCCCTCTCCACTGAGGTTACAGACTGCACTCTGTCTCTGAACACTTGTTTGTAGCTAATCTGAAACCATCATAGTTTCAAAAGGTGATATAGTATAGTCTAGTCAGTGATCACAAGTGTACATTTATGTTGGCTGATTGAATTCCTTTTTTCTAACCCCCAACTCAGGTGAGGGTTAGAGAACTGAAATATCTTGATAACCTTAGCTGACATTAGAAAATCCAGTATTTCTCATTTGATCTGGGATCTATTTAGCAATGTATGAAGAATACCTCCTTGCTCTGAAGCAGGTTAACAGTGCAAGTTACCATGGTGATCTAACCCAACTAAAAGTGAAGCAGTTTAGGGGTACCGGAAAACCTGAGCTAGGCCCAAAGTTGGCTGTGGCTGTATAACCCACTAATCTCGCTTTATGGCACAAACCCCTGCTCCTAGTATGTTTGGCCCAGTTCCCAACAGACAACAGAACTCCATAAAAGTGTGAACTCCACATATCTTTCTAAAACTTTCTAAGCCAGGGTTGACCCCAAACTTAGCTGGCTTTTGAAAAAGACTACAGTAGGTTCACTTGGCTGTGGTAGTTCATTAGAACAGAATAGATTGGGTATAATTCTGACCTGTAGCAGCATGTTAACACCTAATCGTAGATCTGGAGCCAACACTCCTCTGTAGAACGACTTAATGTTCCGTCGGTTCAACCACTTAACATGACTCTCACTACTGGCATGCTCTACTGCTGACAGGGAGGGACCAGAAGGCTCTGAGACCTGTAACATGTCAAATTATAAAAACACTAATATTTAAACATGTTTTTTGTCATGTGTTTTTACTGAATCAATAATCAAGAGTTACTAAAGCTGAGCGACACTCACAGTGACCACATTGGCGCACATCATGAGACTGAGACTCTTGGTGAAACAGCTGACAAGATCCACCAGAACTGGGCGACTGCTGGGGGGACCTGTTAATACCAAACACTGTGGTCTGAAAGAAGAACAGAATCAGAGTGACACTGAACAGTTTGGTCAACATTGGGATCCAACTCTGTAATATAAGAAGACTCCCTAAGGATCATACAAATATTGTAGTCCACAAAAACCTTCACTCAGATTGCTTAAACTTGCTTAAACCCATATGATTTATTAAAGAGCCCATAGCATGCTTTTCCTTGTTTTTTTTTTTTTTTTGACTTATCTACACTGTTTCAATGGGCCTGAGGTTATTGCATGTCCAGGAATGTTCCTGTACAGGGACGCGCTGTTTTACCTAACAGGGTCTATTCTAAAAGCAGCGGGCCAGTGAAGCCCTCCACAGCAATGAATGATCAGCTCATCAATGCTGGATTCCCCCAGAGCACAGTATCTGTTTGTTTTGACTGCTTGAGGCCAGTGTGTCTGCTGCATGTAATGTATTGCTGGTTAATGAGCAGATTAATGAAACATGATGTTATTGTCAGTGCTATGCTACCTGTAGGAATGAGTTTTACTACTTTGGGACTGTATATGGTTGTGTGGGGGAAGACGCAGTGACCACCAGTTGGCTTTACCGACCTTGGAACTACTTGAAAAGGGAATGATGCTTCCATTACTCAATGGGACTTAATGGTAAGTTTACAAAAACACACGTTGCGTGTCTGTTAATGCCTTGTTTCTGTAACGTTAGAGAGAACTGTTGTAAGGCTGGAGAGGTTACTATGTCTGCATTATGCCAGTTAAATATAGGGTTTATCAATTACCTCTTTTGTTTAGTGTTGTACATCTCTTCATCAGTATATATTCTGTTGTTTACCTATCTATGGAGGAGAAATTCAAATTAATTAATATTCATTGTGGTTTGTTGTGCTGTCCACTTTTGACACAACACCAGCAACAGGAGTTGTGCGCATTCACGAACTATCCTCTCGTTTTTAGGAAGAGGCTTCATTCTGAAATAATTACAGACTATTTGGAGTTAATACGGGTGGCAGGCTAATCTAGAGGTAGATTAATTTTAAGTTTAAACATTAAATGGCTAGAAATGAGCATGGGCACTTTAATGTCCTTCAACTTTCAGTGTGTAACATATCCAGAGGTAATGTTACTATAGTGTTACTATAGCGACACCTATGCATTGCAAGGAGCAGTTAATAAATATCAATTAAACATTCTCACCATTAAGACATAAGGAGATGAAAGTTGAGACCTGACAAACTACAGCTTGGATTTATGCTCATTAAAAGCTATTTCTTTATGATCTGAACACTTGAGAATTGAAAAGTGCACTGCAAAGTACATCATGCTCAACTTAAGATACAAGGAAAATGGCCTTGCTTTATACATCAAATCGCGAGCAGACAGACTGCACAGACCTGTAGTTCTTCACGTGGTCCTCCACACGGTTGAGGCCTACACAGTGGTTCAGAGCCATGTTGTAGGAGCTTGCCTGTACTGATGAGCCCCAGTTCACAGCTAAATAGAGAGCAGATCAGCAAGGTTCAAAGGATGCACTGGAGGGGGGCAGCTGGGTGCTGTGTCACACTAGGCTGACTGTGTGTGTGTGATTTTACCAGGCTTCTTGTATAGGGTGTATCCCAAAAGGCAGAAGACAACACCGAAGGCTATGAGGGCTGCCCACCAAGTTATCAGGAACATGATTACCAAGCAAACCACAGCACACAGCAATGACAGCCACTTACTGTAGAACCTGAAGCTCGGGCGCCAACCTGTACACACACACACACACACACACACACACACTGTAAAGAGTATGCACACAACTGTCTACAATGTATGTTCATTAACCAGGTCACCAAAATCTTCAGTTTTATTGAATTTTAATGCCTTTAAAAAAGGGGGTTTCATACTACTTGTATACTCAGCTGTATACATATTCAGCTGTACACATGTGTATCCATCAGCACACTCATTCATATCTAATCTCTGAGCTTTCTACCTGGTGAGTTGGTGATTGAGGCATGGAAGCAGCTGAAGTTGATGAGACAGTAGGAACACAGAAAGAAGTTGGAGATGATGGGAGCAATAGTGTTCAACTCAGCTGTGGAAAGACAGAGGGCAGAAAACAGGGAATATACTGTATCAGTTTGTTGTTAAAGTTATAATCCCAATGTTTTAATGATAAAAATTGAATCGTAGACACGTTTAATGAGTTACATTTATAGCAATAGCAGTTCAATATATTTACATCCTACAGTAATTGTCACAGTGAGTGGTGGAGTCTGCCATCCCTGTTCAGGATCCAGGTTGCACAGCTAAATATGAGGGATTGACAGGAAATATTGCAGCATGTACTCAAAGGTTAATGTAATTTGATCAGAATTGTATCCGCCTCATTGATCCGAGGTTATAAGCTGTGTTTTTCAAACCAGTATAGCTAATTTCAAGGATGAACCACCTGTGCAGGTACAACCCAGAATGGGAGGGGACCTGTTAAACCCAACATTATGTAGCACAGAAAGAGTGCGACAAAGAGTGAGGGGAAACCAGGGTTAACATTGGTGTGGCATGTTGGAGATGGAGAGCATTAGAAACTTGATGCAGATGTGGCTTTCTTCTTTCTAGATGTGTAAGTAGGTAGCTAACATGTATATGTCAGCACCATTAGCATGTTAACATTAGCATTTTAATGCTAGCATTTTAATTTTGTACCTTTGTATTGAATCATTCTGGTTGTAATTTGGAGTCATTCCAACTGACTGCAATGTTAGTGTTTTGTTGTCCAGTTAGCGGAAACCAGCACATTTTCCTGGATTAGTAAATGAAGTAGTTTTGCTGTTTGCTTATCTTTGCTCAGTTTTGGTCCAGGCCACACAGTTAGTTTATATCAGACATAACACAACAGTGCATGTAGCATTTTAGTGAAACATTTTTAAAATTTATGCCATCAACACAACTAGAAAAGTGAGGAATTTGTTCAGCTATCAAAGTGTAACATGACATTTCTCTTGTTTCACATACAACCCACAGTTATGTGTGTCAAGTATGTAACATTGAATGCGATGCAATAGTGGCCAGAACATTAGTACTGTATCAATATTACTGGTAAAAACATTCCTCTGCATAATTTGCTTGTGTTACAACTGTCTCTGGCTGTCATGACCATATATGACCTAGTTGCGGAGACAGGGCAGGCGGGGTAAGGAGGAGCAGAGGGAGAAGAGGAGGGATACTGCTTGAGTTTGTTTTCATTTCATGTCACCCTTTATGGTCAAAGGTTAGAAGGAGAAAGTTAGTTAGAGCCGCTTTTAGGCACTGCCAATGCAAAGCCAACATTTCCTATTGCTGCTGCTTAAGTGTCCAAATGTCAGTGGTGGATTTCATTTAGCAGTCACATGAAATATAATGTGTTTTACCCTATAAATGATTGTCCATCTAAACTGTCTAGAAAACAAGACATGGGATTTTAGACTTCTAAACTTTAAAAAGGAGAATGGATCAAGAAGTAGTAGCAGCAATGGACTGCCAGCTTCTTACTGTGTCCTGCTGATGTGCAGAATTCACATCATGTTACCACACCATGGTACTCACAGGTATTACTAAAGGATAAAATTATACTGTAGATTACTTTTATACAGAAGCTGAGGGCACCCATTATCATTCATTCATTCATTCATTTTCTACCGCTTAATCCCTGAACGGGGTCACGGGGCGGGCATGTCTTTGGTCTGTGGGAGGAAGCCAGAGTACCCGGAGAGAATCCACGCAAGCACGGGGAGAACATGCAAACTCCACACAGAAAGGTCCCGGGTGGGGCCTGAACCCGGAACCTTCTACCCATTATCATGAGATAACTAAATAATTAGCCCACAATTTTGAGATAGCAGCATAAAAAGATTATTGCAAGCATGGCCGTCCCCAGCTTCCATACTTTCCTACAGTTTAAAACAACAATTATTTATAAATATTTTTGGTTACAGCAGCACCATACCATACCATAAAAGAGATGTCCCATATTCTGACTTTCCCATTACCATTTAGCCTAAAATTGCTAAAATTATAGTTCGTAATGGTCAGGGATACTCTCCAAAGTCTCACCAATAAGAACGAAGCAGGAAGCAATGAGGTATGTGAGTAGGTAGCCTCTGAGTGGTTCATCATTCTTGCCGTATCCTTTGCCAAAGAAGCCAATCACAGGGTAGAGTTTGTCCTTACACAGACACTAATGGAAACAGTGAATGGAAAGGCAAAATCATTATCTCCTTGCCACAGAGAGATGGCCAAGGTGGTACTGAAGCATGTAAAGAAATAATACAGTAACACAATACAGCATGCATATGTGCACCTGGAAGACTTTGGGAGCAGACACCAGGCAGGCCAAAGCAGAGGACAGTGTTGCTCCAAAAATACCAGCAGTAATGAGAGGGGCAAAGGCTGATACCATGCTCAGTGTCTGTAGACAGAAATGTAATGTTTACTAATTACACTCTACACTTTTTTTTTTTACCAGGGGAGAACACTGTGTTTGTGTACAAGAGATCTAATGATAAAGTAACTGATTCATGCAGAGTGATACTGAATTATTTATGCAGAACGACATTAGTGTTGGCTTGTAGATGCCCTCGTGTGGCAGCAGCAGGAAGCTGTTAACAGAAAGACTGCTTTGCCCAGAATTCATGTAACAAGTTGTCTTCTTGCAGCCTCGCTTTGAAAATTACATTGACAGCAATGTGGGTATTTTTACATAACAAAACACAGGGCTATATACTGAGCAACAGAGAGTTGTAGAGAGATATATTTCACTCATTTTGTGTCTTGAGTGTGTGTGTGCTTAGGTTGACCTGATAGTAATTACTGAGGCCATAGGTGCATGTGCCATTTCTGATACAGGCACTGAAGTCCCATCCATGCTGACAAGCTATATCAACACAATTGTCACCGGATGATGGGGAAGACAGAGTGTCATTTATGTTGCCAGATGCATCCCGTACCATACAGGATCCTGGGAGGAAGGCACACAGACACATTTAAACACCTTTATATGTGATACATATTTATATGCACAGTTATTAAACTGCAAATCCAAAATAAAAGTTTAAATGAAATGCTTGTTTTCTGTGGAAATGTTTTGTGAATGAGTCATTATTCATTTTATACAACATGATTACAATAAATAACTTTGAAAAGAAGTAGGGCTGGACCCAAATATTTGACTATTCGGATACTCATTCCTTGGGTAGGTAATCATTTTTCATTTATAGTATGCGAATATTTGAGACAGCAGGAAATTTCAGTGCAGTCTGAGTCAGATGAAGAAGAAGAAAGACAACAGTTTGGGGAGCCGAGAAAGTGATTTAAACAGCCCCCCAACTGCTGTTAGCCGAAGATCATTTATGAGGTAAAGAGGCATCACTCTATAACACTATTGAATACTCAGACTATATTGAATGCTTCTCTGTAGCTCCAAAAAATTCCACTATAGTGAGACGTCTTCACAATCAACTGATCTTACACCGATAATAGAAATGTAGCACATTCTGCTGGATAGTGTACAATTTGTAGACAATGAAGATCCATTGTCTGTCATCTTTTACTGATTAGCACTTTGTTTTTGATTGTGTTTTTTTAACCCAAAGTAATACCATATGGCAGTACTTCGAACCCCCCAACCCCAACTGGGGGATATTCCCAAATATTGCCATTGGGGACAGCTCGGGTAAGAAGCCAATGGTGAGTTTTATGTTGTGGAGGTGGGTTTGAATAAAGGTAAATGCAACTGTTTTAACTGATTTAAAATACTCACTACTATATGACTATGATATATGACTACGGTATATATTAATACTATAAAAACTAGTTTAAGTGGGCTATGCGTTTTCTCTTCTGGTGGCTTTGTGGTATTCATACAGTGTTGTCTGGAACCCCTTGAAGGTGGCCCCTGAGTTTTGTTTTGCTTTGCTAATATCTAATATGTTGGACTTGATAATTCAGTTTTTAAAAATGATTTTTCAAATCAAAAGTGTGTTATTTTGTCTAACATTTGCAGACTGATAGGTTTGCCAGGATAAAACCCAGAAGTAACTGCAGCTACAACTGGACATTAACCTGACAAAATCATATCAAAATCACATTACAATATGAATACATTAACATAAAATTATAAATTTCATGCTAGAATTATTATTGTACATAGGTTAAGCTCATGATAAGTTAGTAAAGTGTTCTAAGTTAGAGATATTATAAACATAATGTTATGCAGGACTTAAAATGATATTGTAGTGTTCCAGTTTACTGACAATTTTAGAGCCAGGGCCTGTCAACAAACAAAATTTATATCAAGCTAGTCATTATCTAGAATATCATCAAAGGGAAGTTTGATGACCAACTCACTAAATGGGTAATGGGCAGCCTAAATAGAGATTGGTTAGGTGGCATGGGCATACATTACCAATGGTAGCAGAGATGATGATATAGGATGTGGTGGTCCAGAATATAGCCAACAGTGTTCCTCGGGGGATGGCCACTGCTGGATTCTAGGGGAAGGAGAGACATGGACATAATGGCTTTTTAAATTGAGTATTTGTTTCTATGTGAAAGACCGGGCTGGGGTGTAAAGCAAGCAGAACAATGCATAATATTTTCTAAATCAGGATTTTACTAGAAACCCATTAGTCAGACAGAAAGAAGCAAACTGACATACCCTTAAATCTCCAGAGATGTTAGCTCCTGCCAGGATGCCCGTGGCCGAGGGGAAGAAAATAGAGAACATGCCAAAGAAGTTGCCGTCGGGCCCCCGCCAGCCGGGCACAAAATTGGTGGCAAAGATATCCGCTGATGAAAGTGAAAGAAGAGCCTGTAACTTTGTAAAACAGTCTTATTTTGAAGTCTTTATATCCGACTGAAATCATATGAACATTGTTTATTTCTACACACAAGAACTTCACCTTCTACTGAAACATGTGAAACTTGCACAGGGATTCATGACTCTCTGAGATGATGTTCTGAGTAGAGACTGAATAGTCACCTTTGTAGCTAAAGAAACCCTTTGACTGTTTCTCTGGTGTAGCAGGGATGATGGTTCCAACAATATAACTGGCAAACGACACCATGATGACAATAAAGAACAGGACCTGGGCCTGTGGAAGGCAAAATATACAGTTACACATATAGATGCAGACATTTACATGCAAGAATGAGTTAGAGAACACTAGTGAAGGTGAGCATGCTTAAAAAAAGCATTAACATTCTGAAGTGTTTATCTTTATGTAATTCTGTGGCATGTAGGTGGTATAAAGAACATTTTACTGTAACATCCAAGTAGTTAAGTGATACAGGCAGCCCTACATGAAAGAAACCAACTTGCTCCACATCAGCTTCGGAAGCTTGAGCCTTTATTTAAAGCATTCTGGGGCAGGACCTGTGTGTAATGACAGCCCTGATACTGGTGTATCAGTGTGTGATGTGTGATGCCAACTGAATGCAGATATGGCTGTGTGACTGAGTTTGCGCCATGTTCACCTTGGGGTGTTTTTGCTGTGGTTTATGGCTGTCATAATGGCTTTGACAGTGTCACACTCAGGAGCCATCTGCTTGTAATATGTTTGCTATGTTTCCTGCAAATAGGAATCCCACCTGTTACCATAGTGGAAACTCCAGAAAGTTGTGAATGGTCACTCAGGCCTGCCTTTTGAACAAATAATGCAGGCAGAGATAGAAGTTGTATTGTAACACTCCTCTTAGCCCTTTTCACTGTGCCAATGCCGTCTCCTGATTGGCCTGTGAGAGCAAGGATCTGTCTCAGGATGCCAAGGGGGAGCTTTATGGGGTAAACCTAAAGCCAAACCCATTAGAGGAAAACTCATGTACTCATAGAACATAATTACTGTACACTGTACACCCAGTTTACCATAGTCTGATATACAGTAACTGCCTGAGCTAACCTTGGATTCCCATGCCATGCCAGCCATTGAGATGCCTAGTAGACATGTGACAGTGATGATGCCGATGATGCGGATGTCGTTGGTGCGGTCCACCATGACAGCTCCATTTTCCTGAGGAAGAAAGTTCCAAAAAATTTCAGGATAGCTCAAAGAGAATACAAAATCACAGTTTGCTATATGGCGTCACTGGGTAATGTGGTCTATTCAAAGTAACACTCAGCATCCTACTCACACGCATAAGGTCAGCGACAGTCTCAGCAAAGCCCACGGTGTGCATGGCCACAGCTACGGCATTGGCAAAGGCAAAAATAAGGCCAATAGATCCACCCAGCTCTGGACCCAAGCTGCGACTGATCAGGAAGTAAGTCCCACCTGAAGACAGGAGGGTAGGGAGCAGCAACAGAGAGGGATTGTCTTGATATTACATTACACAAAGGCATCAGAAATATGGTTGATTCATGTTTTTATTTATATTATAATATTTGTATATAACAGCACTTTGGACTGACAATATTACTGTACTATTGTGTATGCATGCATGTACATTCAAATGCATGTACCAATTATTATTATTTTCAGTTACACTGTTTTTGCATTCAGACTGTTTTTCTGAGAGAACAGACCTCCTTTGACTTTGCCGTTGGTAGCAATGGCTGAAGTAGAGAGACCAGTGATGCCCGTAATACAAGAGGATATTAAGATAATCGCCCAGGTCAGACCTGTATTAGACACATAAACAGAAGGTGAGAGTATGGCAGTAAGCCAGACAGCAGCTCACATAAAATAAACTTACTTAATAATATTTTTCTTGGACATACCTATACCAGCTTGAGCAGTAATCCAAGGCAATCTCAGGTACAGGATCACCCCCCAGATATTTAGCATGCAACGGATCTGCAAACAGACAGTGACTGAATGAATTTACCAGATACATCAGATCTGGTTAAACCCAGTCAGCATTGAAAACAATACAGCAGCACATTATTTGATGTGATACTACATCAATTTAATTTGTTGTTCAAAATAAACACTCACTTCATTTCTGATGCCTGCAACACATTCCAAAAAAAAAACATTTGGGCAGGACTAATAATGACGTAAAACACCAGTGACGATTCCATGTCAACAAGTGACTACATCATGATTTGGTATAAAAGTGGAATCCAGGAAAGACAGAGCCCTTTAGGAGTAAAGATGGGCCGAGAATAGCCAGTTTGCCAACATATGTGTGAGAAAATTATTGAAATGTTTAAAAACAATGTTCCTCAATGAAGGAGAGGAAAGGATTTGGATATATCACCCTCTACGGTGCAGAACATAATTAAAAGATTCAAGGAATCTGGAGGGATTTCAGTGCTTAAAGGACAAGAGCACAAGCCTAAGCTGGATGACCATGTTCTGTGAACACTAGATGGCATTGCATCAAGAATTGTCACTCTTCTATAAGCAATATAACCACATGGGCTCAGGATGACTTTGGCACACCTGTGTCAGGCACTACAATATGTAGTTACTACCATAATTGCCGCCTAAAACTGTACTGTGCCAAAAGGAAGCCCTATAACATCAAGTTCCTGGGCATCCACATTGCACCTGACCGTACCTGGTCTCTGAACACATTCTACCTGGTGAAGAAAGCCCAGCAAAGGCTTTTCTTCCTCAGGAAGCTGAAATGTGCTGGTCTCTCCTCTCAGTTGCTTGCAAACTTCTACAGAGCGACAGTAGAGAGCATCCTCTGTCTCAGTGCGACAGTGTGGTACGGGAGCTGCACTGCGCAGGACAGAAAGGACTTGACCCGGGTGGTGAGAACAGCTCAGGGCATTGTAGGGAGTCCTCTTCTGGATCTGGACTCACTATACGCTGACCGTATCCAGAGGAGGGGTGGACAGATTGCTGCAGACCCCACCCACCCAGTCAGCAGTCTGTTTGTGCCTCTTCCCTCCAGGAAAAGGTACAGGAATATAAAGACTAAAATAAACAGACTGAGACACAGCTTCTTCCCCAGAGTTGTGAAATCTATCACCCCCCCTAACACCCAGTCACACACACAACCTCCCTCCTATGGACAGACACAGACAGAACACTGGACTTCTGCAGACGCACACCCATGCTCACACCTCTTCCTAAAGACTGAGATTTGCACTGAGCTGCACCTTATAATGTTACTACACTCTTTTGCTGCTAACATGCTGCTGACCTGACTAGGTCCCATATATCCCTTTTTATTTGCTCATTGTTTTATATTGACTTATACAATTGTGTGTTATGTAAATAATGTCTTTTAAGCCGAGAGCTGCCGGAAAAAATTTTGTTGTGCTATGCATAATAACAATAAAGATTCTTGACTTGACTATGTCAACAGTGTCCAGAAGCACAGTCTGGAATGGACCATCACACTGTGGAAACATGTACTGTGGTCAGATGAATCAGTATTTCGGGTCTTTGTTTTGGAAGGAATGGATGCCGTGTGCTCCGGACCAAACATGAAAGGTAACTTACACTTCTGTGATGGCACCATTAATGCTGAAAAATGCATAGAGATTTTGGAGCAACATATGCTACCTTCAATATGACATCTTTTCCAAGGACACCCATGCATATTTCAACAAGATGATGCAAAACCTCATAGTGCTCATTACCAAGGCCTGGCAGTGGAGGAAAAGGGTGCGAGTGCTGGACTGGCCTGCCTGCAGTCCTGAACTGTCCCAAATAGAGAATTTGTGGAGCATTTTAAAACACAAATTGCATCATCAGAGACCCAGGTCTGTTAAGACTTGTTGGCAGGAAGAATAGGACAAAATGACACCTGACACATTTAATCACTTGGTGTCCTCAGTCCCTAAACATCTTTTAAGTGTTGTGAAAAGGAACGGCAACATCACGCCATGGTAAATACTTTACTGTCCCAACTTTGTTTGGAATGTGTTGCAGGCATCAGAATTGAAATGGGTGTTTATTTGGAACAAAGAATAAAGTTGATGACATACAGTATCACCAGTAATTATATTGTAAGCTTTGTTCTTGAAGCACCAGGAAAAGATATTATATGGCTTTATAAAACACTTTTTATCATTGCTGCCCAATAAGACATCAAAACCAATGCTACTGAGATATGCCTGAATACTTGCAGTATAACTACTTAGAAAGAGCACCACAATTAACCCATAATGACATTTATAAATCCTTGTTTAAACGTTTGTATTGTCCTCACCATGGTTTATGAGGATGCCGATATCATCCTCATAAACCATGATGATACGATAAATACTGAGAAATCCACCTGTAGTTACCTTTCTATGGTGCAGTTTACAAGCTTACTTGTTTTACTAATTCTTTAGTATATTACTTGTGTGATGTAAGAATGTTAACACTGTTATAATCTTTTTTAGTATAATACGTGTGTGGGTAGAAGTGAATCATTTACTGCTTGCAAACCAATGATGGTAAGATGATGTCATGGGGTAGGACTGGATAAGTCTGACTTCTTCCTACTCCATTCAAGCATGTACTAGGTATAAGCAAATTGATATTGAATTATGTGTAAAATTATGTGTGTTGTCATATCAACTGTTTTTACATGCTTGAAAGAATAAATCAAATCAAATCAAATTACTAGCAACAGTACACTTTTGAATTTTATACAGCATATTAGGGACAGTGTTGGGGAGAATAGAATCTGAGAATTCCATCCATTATCTATACCGCTTATTCCTGAACAGGGTTGCTGGAGCCTATCCCAGGTGACAATGGGCAAGAGGCAGGGTCCACCCTGGACAGGTTGCCAGTCTATCACAGGGCTGACATGTAGACAAACAACCACACTCTCCTAGGGGCAATTTAGAGTCACCAATCAACCTAAGCTGCATGTCTTTAGAATGCGGGAGGAAGCTGGAGTACCTGGAGAGAACCCATACAGGCACAGGGAGAACATACAAACTCCACACAGAAAGGCCCTGGGTCAGCCAGGACTCAAACCTGGAACCTTCTTGCTGTGGGGCAACAGTGCTAAACCACCAAGCCACTGTGCTTGATTCCCAAAGATGATATAAAAACATTCTTAAGAAAAAAGTCAGCTCATGTTGTTTCTGAGGCCTTAGCTAAAATACCTCTGAGAGAATTGTCCAGCTCAGGTGAAAGGTTCTGTTATGTCAGCTTTAGTAAAGTATTTTAATTAGGTTCTTTAAAAGATCATTTATGGAACATCAATATTTAAGCTTCACACCTGCCAAGGCAGATTAAATTTGTGGTCTAACCCTACATACCATGACTCCCTGTACCCAGCCAAAGCGAGTAGGCTCAGGTGGTGGCTCCTTCTGCTCATCCTCATCTTCCTCAGAGCTGTCTCCTTTTTCAATCTGTCCGTCTGTTGTCTCTTCATACATGGGAGGTTTGGAGTCATCCTAGCCAAGTCAGGTCAAGCTAGGTCAATTTTATTCATAGTCTCTAAAATCCTCATATTAACATTTCAGTTTGGTGTGAAGTTATTTATGGCATTTCAAGAAAATGTTCTGTTGCTGTAAAGTTCGTGAAACATGCAATACAAAAACTTTACATTCCAATACAGACAAACAAAAAGTACGGTGATAGCAGGACTAGAACTACAATTATACTTTTAGCTCATTGTTTCATACATTCATTTAGATCTCATTCAGTATGTGCACCATAAAAAAAGATTTCTAAACCAAAAATACAAGTTGATAAAAAACAGCAAATCCTCACCTCAGGGTTGGCATGCAGCTGGTACAAAGATGGTCTGAAGCGTCTCCGTCGACCATACACCTCTGTGTTGGCGTAGAAGTCATAGTGTGGTGGTGCATCAAGAGTGTCATAGCCAGCCAGAGCATCAGATACACGGGATGCTACACTGCTCCCATCACCATAACACTGATAGTAACCAGACTCATCAAACCCTCCAGGTGTTGCCTTCCCATTGCCATTGGCAACTATCTGAGGAGCTCTGGGTCTGTATGCAGCCAGCTGAATAGTCTCGCTGACTACTGGCAACTCCATTTAGGACAGCAATACAGCCTTTACTTTATTTAAGAAATTTGTAATTGTAAAAATAGTCACTTTAGTTTTTAAAAAGAAATCTTTTCCTTGAACAGCTGATTTATCCTACAGAAGTTAGTCACTCAGTGTGTCGAGGTGATTGAGTCATTCAGTTTAAGGTGTAAGAATGAGGCTTTATTGCAAGGGTTGGTCTTATATTTGACTTTAACTAGGCAGGAAGAGCCCCAGGCCATGTAAAAGGCTGGTTCAGTGAACAATCAAACAAGACTCATTACAGGAACTATTAAGCCTGGCATGGACAATTACACATGCAGGGTCAACCAAAAATCATTTTGGACTGTGCTGGGCCAGGAAATGCACTGTTCTATTTAGTAAAGAATTATTTATAAAATGTCCTTCTGACAATTCCATACTTTCCTTTCCCAAAAGCTTATACCATGAAGAAATGAGGTATTATATCCTAAAAATTGATTTTTTTTGTCTGACCTACACTTCTCTTTATGTCAGGTATGTGTTGTTTTGTTGACTTAGTTTGTTTCTGATTATATAATGACATTTATTAATGAATAATCTCCAGAGGGAGTTAATGTAAGTTGTAAGTAGCATCATTGTGAGATGACCTTGGCTAAAACAACAGTATGTTTCTTACGGAAATAGGCTCCTACTCTACCCTTCTAGCTGAATTTAAATGTCATTATGATGATGATGATGATATTATTATTATTATTATACTTTAGGAGCTTTCTTAGGGAAGGGTATAGCTGTAAAAATTAGTTTCTTGTTATAACATTTCTTCTTCTTTTGATGTATGTAATGAAAACATTTCATGATATACCGAAAGATTAAACAATAAATAATAAAATGAGATATGTGCCTTCCAAACTGTTACACATCATCACTGCTGATGAACAAGACTCAGCCATACTAGTGGCACTGTGATGCTGTGCGTTGAACTAAATGTTTACATTAGCATGCTGACATTCTCACAATGACAATGCTAACATGCATGTTAGCATTTGCTAATTAGCTGTAAACACAAAGTACAACTGAGGCTGATGGTATTATGATTCATTTAATAATAATATAATAATAATAATAATGAAAATAAAAGTATTTGGTTGTAAGTATTTGACAAACTGGAATTTTGGCCTGTTGATGTTGCTAAATGAAAATCCAGGGATCACTAAAGTAATAACTGCCAGGCTCTGGTACTGAGTTGGTCCCAAAGTGCAGACACGGATACAAGGGTAAAGTTTATCTAATTTGTTAACAAGAAGCACTCAACACAAACTGAAACCACCCTGTCACCTGGAGAAACACAAATAGACACAAGGTGGGGGAAACATACACTTAACGCAAAACACAAAGTAACAAAACTGACAGAGTGAATAGGGAAAAACAAAAGTCCAAATCTGCAGGATGCTGGTGAGTGGGAGCAGGTGACAGGAGTCCTGGGAAGAGGTCCGTGAGGCGGCGAGTGGAGAGCAGGTGACTGGAGACAAGATACAATATACACAGGGAATCACAGAGGGTCATGGAGACAGACTATAGTGGAGGAGCACACACGGAGATCTGTCATGAACTTGGGCATGGAATAGTATGCACATGGGTACGGAATGAACCTGCAAATAACTGAGGGAAAGGGAGAAGTGTTTAAAGGCTGGGGAGCTGAGATAACAAATAGCAGGTGAAAGCAATGAATGCTGATTGACTGGTGGTGAAGCTGGAGTCGGTGAGCAGGCAGGAAACAGGAAATGAGACAAAAATAAGAGCCCAAAAAACGGGAGCTGCAGAGGCCGCCATTTGGAGCGATGTCCACAGCGCTGACGAGGAGGCCCTTTGGGAGGATGTCCAAAAGGAAGGACCACCATCAGAGGCTGAGTTGTGGCCAGCTGACTGGTGATGCTCAAACAGGGTTGCTGAGAGTCTGAGCAGCAGAGGCGGAGCCGATGAGGAGTAGACTGGCAGCGCTGGCAGACGTGCAGAGCTGGTGTAGGAGAGGTGCCCGGAGCTGGTGGCAGGCTGAGTAGCAGGACTGATAAGGTGCTGGCAGATGGGTCCGACAAGGTGCAGACTGCCAGGGCTTAGGATGTGCAGGCTGGCAGGGCTGAGGAGGTGCAGGCTGGCAGGACAGCCCTACCCACTCAGAAACTGGGGGCAGGGCTGTCATTGTCAGTGTTGTCATCCTACTCAGAAAGCGGAACACATGCAGGGTTGATGTCGCCATCGACTACCTCAGGAATGAGCAACGGAGATGGCATCTGCGGTCCACCCGACCCACTCAGGGACTGGCTCAGAGGTGGTGCTGGCCATGTAGCCAAACCACTCAGGAACAGGTTTCAAGGTGGCGTTGGCAGTCTGGCTAATCTACTCAGGAACAGGGGCAGAGACCTCGGCTACCATCTCCTCATTAGCACGACTTTGGACCCTGACTGGGATGCTGTCATCAGCACACCTGGGGACCTTTACCTCAGTGGGGACATCTTCATGGCCAGGTAGGTAGGAAGAACTTTATTGATCCCCCAGTGGAGAAATTCCAGTGTTCCAGCAGCAGTAAAGGACAAAACAACATGACACCATAAGAATAAACACCCCACACATATCTTGAGAAAACAAGATCCAGGTACCTGAAAAATCATACAAAAATATAGTATTTCAGAGACAATCAAGAACAAGAATAGACCTCCCACAGTTTGTCCCTGAGACGCAAGTCAAAAAAGATACCTAGGAACAAGACAAAAAAGAATAGTATTGAGAGGAATCAAGAAAACAACCAGGAAATCAAAAACAATCAAATATTACTCACACAATTAATCCCACAATGGGGGAAAGAAACCTGTGTTTCAGTCATAAGGATTTCTGAGGAACTACTCAAAAATACCTAAAGCAGGGCAATGTACAGTATTTGAGAGACGTCATGAACAAGATATTACACATAAGCCTATTTACAATGCATTTCACCCCCAGGAGCTGAATATTCCACCTCAGTTGACTATTGCATAGTCCCTCATAATTTCACCTATCTTATCACTGCAGTGATGTGTTGTACAGTCTGATTGCTGTGGGGAGGAATGACCCACTGTACGGTAACACTCCTTCTTACACTGGGGATATAACAGTCTCATGCTAAAAGACCTGTTCAGAGCCACCACTGTGTTGCACAGGGGGTGGGAGGGGCTATGCATGATGGATGTTAGTTTTACCAGCATCCTTCTGTCCGCCACCTCCTCGATGGAATCCAGAGAGCAGTCCAGGACAGAACCAGCTCTCTTAACCAGCTTGTTGAGTCTCTTTATGCCCCTGACCGTGCTACCTCCTGCCCGGTTAGGGACAGGAATGAGGGTGGCATCAGCAGTGCAGCCAGCCCACTCTGGAATAGGCTCAAAGGCGGCATCAGCATGCCAGCTGGCCCGCTCGGGCACAGAGACGATGTTGGCATGCCAGCTGACCCACTCGGGGACAGAGGTGGTGTCAGCATACCAGCCAATCCACTTGGAGCCAGGCAGAGGCTTTGGCAGGTGCATTCTCTGTCGACACACTGAGTAGCTGGGGCCTCAGTAGGGATGCTTCTGTTGGCACACTAAGGAAACGGGGCCTCAGCGGGGACACCCTCGTCGGCACACCAGAGAACCACCAACTCAGTGGGGACGCCCACACTGCCTAGCCGCGGAACAGGGACAGGAACGAACTCAGAGGCAGCATCGGTGGTCCAGCCAACCTGCTCAGGGACTGACTCAGAGGCGGTGTCAGCAGTGTAGCCAACCTGCCCAGGTACAAGGTCGGTGGTAACATCGGCAGTCCAGCCGACCCACTTGGGAACAGGTATGGACCCCCCAGTGTTGGACTCTGTGGCGGACTTGGGTGCTGGGACTGACCATGCTGGTTGCTGTCTCTGCATATGGCCACCACTCTGCAGGATGGGGTGCAGCTGTGGCTCAGTGACTGGTGAAGGTAGCTGTTACGTCCGCGAATCAGGCTGTCCCCGGCACCGGGGCTGCCGGCGACTCAACCCCCGCTCCCGTAGGAGCACGCTCCCGGCGGCGCTCCCGGTGGCGAGGCACACCTGCGCTTGGCTGCCGGTGACTCCACCCCTGCTCACGTAGGAGTACGCTCCCGGTGGCAAGGCACACCTGTGCTCAATTATCAGAACTGTACTTAAGCACAGCGTTGGTGTGTCCTCGTCGCCAGATGATCTTTCATCTTTCGACTGGCAATCGTGCTCGTGACACATCCTGGATCCTCGTCTCGTTCCCTGCCTGAACCGCGTCACTCCGATAAGTACCTGTATGCCATATGTACTGTTTTTGTTCCCTGAACCGCTTTAACGGAGGAATGTTTTTGTTTCTGAACTGCTTTAACGGAGAAATGTGTTTTGTTTCTGAACTGCTTTAACGGAGGACGTTTTTTGTTTTTGAACTGCTTTAGTGGAGGAATTATTTGTTTCTGAACTGCTTTAATGGTGGAATGTTTGTTTTGGAACTGACTTAACAGAGGAGTGTTTCTCAGGCACTGGTTACTGTGGATTGTCTTTGTTTGAGTTACTGGCCCGGGCTGGCATAGCGCTGGTACTAGCCCCACTCTGCACACCTCAGCACCAAAACCTACACCGCCACATTCTTCTCGACCACTACCGACCTGCTCTGCCGTCTGCTGAGACCTACTCATCTGCTCCGGTCTCCTGTGATTGCCTCCCCAGTCAGCCCGGCCATCCTGCCCAGGGCCAGCAGTCTTCACTACGTAGGTTCCCTGTATGATATTCTAGACTTATCCCTCTCATCTGCCTGTAGTCCTCCTTCACCCCTCTCTCCCACACAGTGCCAAATCTCTCCACCGACCTCGGGTTGTCCTTCCAGTGGTTCAGTTGCTACAGCTGTGGTTCAGTGAGTGTCTGTGGACAACCCTTTTTCCTGCCTCTCCTTCTTCTTGGCCCTCCAGGACCAACGGCCAACTGGGTTCCCAGAAGGGGCGAGGGCTCGGGATAAGGAGCGGGTGGGTACAGG